GCCTTCCGCTTCAATTGGAGGTGGAGGGGGTTGCACCCGGCCATCCGTACGGTATGCTTCATCAAGAGGTTTGGAGAGTTGGAGCTTCAAACCTATTGTCAAAATCTACTTCTCGTATGTTCTATACTCTATTTCGTAGGTGCATGAAAATCCGGGTTTTGGGGTCGATTTTGGCAGCATTTTCGGGGTTTTGTGAGGGACCTTGTATTGGAGTCCCGGTGCGAAATTTCGGGGTTTGTTCTGGAAAATCCAGTGCGTTTTCGGGATTTTGGGGGCCCGTCTAATTTGCTCCAGGATCGGGCCCCGTTTTAGGGTTTTCAAGCAAACCCTGAGCCTTAAATTCCTTACAGGTGGTCAATATCCCGGGATTATGATCGGAAAACAAGTGAGGTTTCGGGGTCTCGAGGTTCACCGGGCTCCACCCGTCGCTCCAACTTTAAGTCCCGGGCAATATTTCAATCATATTTGGGTCTATATACGATAATAGGCTCAGTTTTTGTGGTTCGACCTGACATTCTGAAACTTTTCGAGCATATGCTACTAGAGAATATCATGATAAGGCGAAGAAAAAGTTTGAATGTGTCCTAAAAATTGAAAACACTCACGGGCAAACCAATGATAATTGCATATAATTAAAGGCCCTGAGAGGCAAATCTGAGAATATTTTATGTCAGTTTTTCAAAAAAATCTAAAATCCGGGTCGGTCGCGGACCGGAAACCCCATATCGACTTCGCGTAGCCTTACGGTTTGCCAGGCCGGTGCCGGTAAGTTTTTAATTTCCCGCTGGGGATCTTGCTGGGTTGAAACTTGACACCCGGTAAGATAACTTACTGTACCAGGTTAAGAATCTCGAAAAAAGGGATTCGTCCTTGAGTCTTGACCCTTGCAGCTGAAGTTGACCATTTCATTCATTGTATACGCTATGAAAACCTTACCAGATGGATTTTTACACAGATGCAGTCATCTTTTGGCCTATTCTACATCGTCGATGAAAGGATCGGACGCTCCTTTGTGTTCACTTGAGAAACGAGATCCCAATTCTTAGAAAGTTTGTAACTTCCGAACTTCGAAGTCTCCAATGAAAGGTGAAACTTGAAACGTGAATTAGGTAAGTTGATTAAGTTAAGAATTGGAAGATGTCCACATTGTCCACTGAGTCGTGTTTTATAGTTGCACGAAAAACATCATTGCATGATTCATGTCCATTCAACTAGGTCCTACTACAATCCATTGAAGGCGGCAATCAGAAGACTTGCATTGGAACATGACAAGGTACGCGAGTCAATATTGCGGAGCTATCGCCAACATTTAACCATGCTCCAAACTTTCAAGTTAATGGCAAGGAAGGGATCTCGGTCAGTGTGTGTCAAACTAGTAGCTATGCAATGCTAACGCGCTAGGTTGCAAGAATGTGCAGCTAGATTGGTCCAAACTATGTCCGACACCATCGCACAACTATCAACCAATCAAAAGCCGGACCGGCTTGCAATTACTATATACTCGGATATATGCTGTCACACATCCGTTGATTATAGTAGTACTTTTTCCAGCCCAAACCTTGCACATGTTGATCGAATTTCGTGGGATATCCCAGAGCACGCTTCATTTAGTTAACATTGAACTTGTGCACTGAGAACCATGTTGACTCAGTGATGCCCCATTGCCAATATAATAGAATAACGAAATGCCAATGTGCACCGATCGAGGGCGATTGCTCGTAATTCATCAGATGAAACGGGCTCGTTTGAAGACGATATGCAAGAGATGTACACGTGACATTGCTTTGCTCCAGCATCTAATGACCATCTGGCAAACGAATCGCATGCCTCGTACTGGTTGCAAGTGAATCTGAGTTGCCAGCATTGTAGGGTCTTTTGATGCATGCAAGCAAGTGCATGCGACCGTTCAAACTTGAACGCAAACGTCCAGGAATGTGGTTGTGGTCGATCACTTCACCAGGAAGGAACCAGGCCTGGTCGTCACGCAAGGTTGAAACCACTTGGACCAAGATCGAATCTTGCCACAGCCTGGTTTGCTTACAACAGGAGTAAGACCAAGTTGCGGAAATCTTGCAACGTTAACAAGGACGCAACCAATCAATGCACAAGGAGGTGCATGGGCAGCCCGTATCACAATTTGCTCTCGCAACAGTAAAGGTTTGCACCTCCTTTCACTGCGCGCATCGATGATGCACACGGAAAAAGCAATCTTGTATTAGCCACCACAAGATTCTGTACTACTTCATGCCCAACTGTACCCAGACTCCCTCACCTTCTCGTCCACTGGTCAGCCACTTCCCTGCCCTCAAGCCACAGAACTCATTCAGCAGCCAGGCATGCTACTGGCGTTCAATCTAAGCATTAGCCCCTAGATATACTGCCGTGAAAAGAAGATTTCAATCAGAATCGCTATACCAAACTTACAGCAAAGCAAGCCTTTGAATTTGTCGGATCCAAACCCAACGTTTTATATCACTGCAATATGGCGCCAATGGTATGCAGAAAACACCTTTCTTCAGATTGTGAAGGCAGAACGGCCTGAGAAGAAGCAGAAAGGTGACACCAGATCTAATTGCCAGAAAAAGTACCACACAACTCAGACAGGCCGTTTTTCCTGCATTTAACACGGAATCACAGAAACCTAGCAATAGCTGTGAACTTCTTCATATATACAAAGATCAGAAGTTATCGTTTACCACTCCCCTACTACTCAAGATCGCAGCAGCTTAAAATACTTGTAAACCTTATTGCGCCGATGCCTTCGATGTCACAGCCTTATTGGATGCCAACTTTTTGTTTTCAAAGGATTGCCATCAAGTCTAAGAGCTGGATGCTCCTATAGTTACTGCAAGCACCAGTCTTTCAACTTGCACCTAAGCCTTTGCGCCCTGCTTCCCACAGCTCTGAAAACCTGGAACCTCACGCTGACGCCGAACTGCCGCCGACGTACAGTTCGCTCAAGCGGCGCACACACAGCTTCCGACCCTTTTTATACGGGCCCCAAAAGTTGGCTCCACGTCGGCCGTGGCTCTGAGTACATGCCCAGGAGAATGATGAAAGGCACGAAGCCGTAGTGCATCAAAACCTTCCCCTTTTTCATCAGGGCGGTGGGCACCTCCTTGACCACCTTCTCCAGGCTCTCCATCGTCTCGGGGCTCAGGATACGGGGAGCCATGGCCAGCCTGACGTGCAGAAGCGCCTGAAAAAAGTGATGGGCGCCTTTCTGAGTCTCGCCCTCTGAATCCCAGTCCTAGCTCTGCCAGTCGTGAAAGCAATGTAGACAGTACGCCGCAGCTAGTTCTGCAGCATGATGCCCAGTGGTAATGGCTGCCATAGGCCTAGGCCCGTTGGTAGCAAGGTAACAATTAGGGTTTGGACCATTACCATCCTGAACTTTCTTCAGCCTGCTGCCTTCAGCTAAGTTCAAGTTCAGCCGCGGAGGCGGCGGCGCAGGGACGTGTCAAGCTAGCACCAGATTTGCAATTGACAAGGGGAGGAGTATTGGAGCGTTCTGCAAAGCATGCTTATTAGGAAGGTAGTCATTGAGCCAAAAGTTAGTTGTTGAGCCAACATTTATCTCTGAACCACACTGCATTGCTTGCTATTGATTGGGCAGATACGGCGCTAGGGCGCTTGTCTCGCTGTGCAGCAGCTCGCATGGCTCGGGCAATTGGCGTGAGGGCGTCGCTGAGACACCTCCACTTTTCCTCACTGCAGATTGCCTCTCCAAGTCGAGAATGCAACTCTACTCCTGCAGCCTGCCATTTCTCTTCCTTCTTGTCCAATTGCCGACCGCAGCATTCTGTTCGATCGAACCCACATAGTTCTGTGGCTGGAGAAGTGACACATACTAGTTGCCAAAGGCAGGGGAACACGCTATTAGGAACAGACTTTTGGGGTCAGTGTCAGGGGATGCGCTCCAGCAATAGTGCTTGGGGCGCCAGTGCGTTTGCGGAGGGACTGCGATGGGGGGGTGGCAATGCGAAGGAGGCTAGGAGGGGCTTCCTTACTTCTCCCATCATGATGGGGAGGAGGGCAGCTAAGATTGCAACTAGAAAGGTGAGGTGGTGGACCAATTGCAGTACATGATTGTTTGTCTCCTGGTACTGGGGGAAGGGGCTCGTTTTCCCTTCTTGTATTTCATAGGACGTCTTGGGGAATATGAAAGCCAGTCCTTCTAGGCCACCGGTTTTCTCTGAAATAAGAAGATGAGAGAAGATGACATTGGCGCATAGAATTTGGCAGTCGTCCTTGTTGACACTGTCGGTATTAGGATATGGGCTGCGGAAGGTTTCAGCCTAGAACCATTTTCAAACTGGGAAGCTATCGATGGATTCGGCTTGTGGACGTCCCGGTCTCCTGTCACAGCCTGAGAGACTTCTGAACACTTCTTATTTTGAATGTTTCCTGCGTTCTCCCATACATTGGGTTCGCAGATGCAGACGTGGACTTACAGTTTGGCCGCGGTCGATGGTTTATCTACAGCACCTGATTGGTCTTCTCACTGTGCTTTGCGGAAGAGTTGTACTGACTTTCAGAGCCTTCCTAGGCATGTGTACATACATTGGATTGCTTGAGGTCTGGACCCCCTTCTGTTTTCTCTTTCAGGGAGCGCAGGATAAGAAGAAGGCCAAGGTCTACGGAAGGATCGGCAAGCAGATTATCTCAGCGTGAGGGGCAATTCTCAAACCTTTGCCGCCTTTCACAAGCAGCCCCTTTAGTGTGAGGTGAATCTTTCTAACCGCTTAGTGCAAGTCTCCTCAACACCCAACAACATGAAGGAGTGGAGATGCTGGTTTGACTCTGAAAGAACTTGGTCAGTGTCACAATTGATCCACTTGTGGAGAATCCACCACGAAAATGGTCTCCTGTGATAACTTGCAATAGCCAAAAAGCGCCTCGCTTCGCTTTCACAAGCTCCCCAACCGAAATTATCTCGCATGTAAGCTTCTGCAATTCTGAGGGAATGAAAATTCTTTAGTGTGCACACCGCAGGCACTTCAAGAGGGCGGTAAGACTGCATCCACGGGGAAAGTATTGACCTACGCTTTGTCGATCGAGAGAAATTCTGAAAGTGCAAACGAAACCTCGAGTTAGCGGCGACGAGATGGGTGATCTTGCGGGTGACTGAGGCAACCTCCCATCTCGGTTGGTACAATTTTACAGCAACAATGTGTGTTATTTTTGCAGTGTGAAAGCGGGGGGCACTGACGCGAACGCCAATGTCCAGCTGGCGGCGGTCTTGCAAGCTGCCCGACAGTCGAATGTACCGAAGGACATTATTGACCGGAATATAAAGAAGGCGTCGGACAAGGACCAAGCCGAATACATCCAACAAACGTACGAGGTAAGCTTACTTTGCATAGCGTTCTTGTGAATCGTTGCAAACTTGGCGGCACCTGAGTGCTTATAATCTGGAAGTTGCGACAGCTGACGCCGTCCGAGGCTTCTAATCGTTTCGCTCACCGTTTCACCGTTTGGTCTTCCTTTTTCACCCATCACTGGTAGCCCGTCAGTCGAAGGACTGGGAAATTCGTAGATTCCCGCCGAAGCCTTTTTCGCTCTCGAAATCCGTGTCATTTGTTCATGTCGGGCATCAGGTTTCTAAAGCGTGAATGTAGCTCTTTGTGGTTCACAACGTCCGCGAGCTATTGTAGCCGTCATAGGATCCCATTTGAGAGAGACGTATGCCACGTCCGAAGCCACCGATGCATGGCGACCGTTCGCTGCCTTTCGAACACTGGCAAAGTATACGCCGTTATCACGGGACCTCCGCTTCTCCAAGTAGGGTCGAGACACAAAGTTCGGCTTGCGATGTCTCCAAGAGAACGGCACTTGGCGTTTCAAGCAACGGCAGCTGGCTAAGAACACGACCCGTTTCCCCTTCCAGGTATATGGCGCGGGGGGCGTCGGGATCGTGGTGGAAGCGTTCACGGACAACCTGAATCGCGCAGCGGCCAACATTAGGGACGCCGTAAAAAAGGCGGGTGGAAAGATGGCGGACCCGGGGTCGGTGCTGTTCAACTTTGAGCGAAAAGTACGGCACTCCGCGCTCCCAGCTCTTTGCCTCGAACAACTTCTTTTTTGCTGCAATTGGTGGTTCTTACTCCTTGCTCTTCCGTTGTGTCTTCACAAACCCCAGGTGAGACTCTTCGGAACGCCGCCTTGAGTGCACGAGTCGATCTTCTAATTCTTGATGACAGTCCTGACCGGTCAGTCGACGAAAGCGGGGTCGAAGTTGCCTTCGTCGGCATTAGAAGTTGGAGGTCAAGTATTCCGCCAAGAGTTGTCTCCTTGCCGCAGATCCGCAGTCCTCGATTTCCCACAGGGCATGTAAGAAGGCCTGGAGGCGGATTTTCTGCAAACAATGTTTTTGGTAACGTAGTCTTCCTTCTCGTTTTCTTTCTCGGCCCTCCACTCTCTTTCGCTTAGGCTCCTGGTCCATTCGAAGTTACCCTTCTAAGTCGAGATTTTTGCTCGCAGGGCATCATAAGCGTATTCGCGGACGAGCTGGAGGCGGACGATCTGATGATGGCGGCCATGGATGCGGGGGCCGATGACGTCAAGCTGCCGGAGGAAAATGAGGACAGCGAGGAAGAGGAGGGCAGCAGGTACTAATTCTAAACGGTTTTCAGAACTTGACAACGGATGGAGATTACTATATTCTACTACGTTCGGGCCTTTCCAGACTTCCCGTTATTTTGTGGGGAGTCAGCTTGATGAGAAGCGGGTGGGGTTCGGGCTCTGGCGGGGTTGACAATCTTTCGAACTGTTAGGGGGAAACTCTTTCTGCGTCTGATCGTGCATTCAGCGACGTCAACAGAAAGCCCAAGCCGGGTAGTACGGTAGTTTGGATCCGTTGGGGGCAACGTCGCCATACGAACGTCGGTCTTTGAACGCTCAGTTAGTCTTAAAACGAGCACTACACGGGCTTTCAGTTCTCGCCTTTGGGAGAATGAGCTGCCCGGTAAATCTGCTGTATCTCCGATCACTTTGATATGGTATTGCTCTCTCTTTTGGTGCTGCACGCTGTTCTTTGACTGGCTTGTGCATTCTATTAAAAGTTGATTCAGGCCCGTCAACAAAGTCATAGCGCATTCCTTGCAGGCGCTTCAAGGTCATCTCTGAGATGGACCAGTTCTCTGCCGTCAAGTCAAGTTTGGCGGAGAACAGTATACACATTGACGAAGAAGACTCGGGCTTGGCAATGGTTCCACTAGCACACATAGAGGTGAGCCACCCGTTGTTTCAGCCATCGTATCCCTCCAGTTCTCTGCGGTTCCTTTTGCTTATAAGCCGTCCCTGTGCTTAAGACTTGTGATTTAGAAACGAAGTTTGGAGTTTAGAAAGGTCCGAAAGTTTTGGGTTTAGAACCGTTCCCAACTGTGCATCTGGTTCTCGTTGCTTGCGTCTTCACCCCGCTGAAGGCTCACAATGTGAATAGGCGTCAGGGCATCCTCATGCTTAACCTTTCGAACTCAGCTGACGTTGACACATCTTCTCAGCCGCTAAGTAATCTCGGTCACCGCACTTTTTGGCGAGGCGCTAAGGACACAGGTGCTCTTGCGTTGCGTAGTAGGTTCGACACAACGAGGGCGCTGAAGAGAGTGTCAATCTGCCCAGAACCGGTCTCCATAAAGTCGAGATGTCTATACTGTTAACCAGTTGCGCCAGAGAATTTTTCGCTCTCTTACAACCTCGATGTATAGGCCCTATCTATTTATGCACGCCTGACCTCAAGAGCGTAGGCTAGGGGCGGCCGGGTGTCTTACTCGACTGAAAGGGATGAAGTAGCTCGATTTGCAAGAGAGTGCTTTGTAGATCTGGACTCGCGCCAGCCCTCTCAAAGGTTACTTTCTCACATTTGAGCAGGTTGACGACGCCGCCGGTGAAGTCAACGAAGCCATCATGGAAAGACTGCTAGATTTAGACGACGTGGATTCAGTATTCAGTAACATGGCGACCTAGGACGGCACTGGAATGTGTAAGTTCAAGTTCCTGTTACGGTACCGTATTGGCTTCTGTTGGAGAGGCGAAGGATTTGACGGTAACCAAAGCTTTGACCCAGATCTAGCGGACACGTTGTACTCAAACTTGCGGCGAGTTGCGTACTCCGGCAACTTCCGAAACGGACTGGAACTGCAATACGGTACGTGTTGTGCACGTTCAACTGGCGGTGGCGCGGCCTTTGGCGCGGCACGTTCTGAAAATGTACACACACATTGGCTTCTGCTTGGGCGGGCCCGCCTAGGGATCTCAACGTCCGATCAGTGCTCGCGCGCATGACCGGACAACAAGAATGCACGCCAATATCGACGGTACGCCACATTGAACATGTGCATGCAAGAATGCCAATATCGAATTGGATATATTGGCATGACGTATGCATGGTACAACCATGGCGGCACTGACAGGTAGGCTAGCCGGCGGCCTTAATTGGCATATGTGCAACATGATTGATTGTAGGCTTGCATGCAGTGAATTTTCGATCGCTGCAATGATCAAATCAAGTGCAATTAAGCTGCGACCGTGGGCGGCCGGACTTATAAGTAACTGCATATATGTGTGCATCTGTATGACATGATCATTCGATCCTGGGCCCCGTCACACGCCATGCACATGGCGGGACGAACCCGTATCATAGTATAAATTCGATCGAGGACGGGTCGACGGCAGATGGTGCAGTACTGTATATATGCATTTGTCCATGGCACCGATGTCATTACTGAGTTCTGCAACTACTTGGCGCATACTATGAATACTTCACAAAAGTCGCATGGATTCTGCAATTGGAATAAGAAAGACCGAGCGACCTTTTTCCAGGTTGATTGACAATGTTACAGTGTCTAGTACCTTCCGTCGTCCGATACAGCTCAATTACTTATACCAGGACTATTGCAAAACAACCTGCTGGTCCTCCGAAACGGCCTGTCTCCGCTTTTCTTCCTCTTCTGCACATGAACACCAACAAACTTCGTCAATAGGAGGGAACTTCCTTACTTAACACGCCAGCATATGCGAACCTGTAAGGAGGGACAACAACGCGAATCCAACTCAAATCACCTTCATTTGCCTCCGTTCAATAGACTTTTCCCACAGCCGCTAACCCAGAATGGAGTAGATCGTCATTCCACTTTCGGATAAGCACCCGGCCTTGAAGCCGACCAAGCAGGGCTGAAAAGTATGAAGACGAGAGTTGACGAAAGCAATGATTCCAATCACAAAAGAAAACAGCACTGAGGAAAGTATGAGACTCACGAAGAAGCTCTACCATGGCCCGTTGTGTCCGCCTTTCAAGCTTTTCCAACTTTTTGGCAACGTCTCTCCGCAGGTCCCAGTTGGGCTTCTTTGGCGCTATACTGCCAAGGGGATCCTGCAGATAAGAAAATCAATGTTCATTACTGACAGTTACTGCTGTAAGAGAATACCTTGAGAGAAGGTATTCTTGTGGCTGAACGATCCGTGTTCGAATTGAAAGTCATTGATTTCATGCCTCCTGATCCTGCCTGCTTCACAGGAGGTGAGGAACAAAGGCCGCAACCCTTCCACATCTGTCAAGTGTCCAAAATTAGCACAAATCACACAACGGGCCATCAGAGTTGCCGACTTCGCTGTCCTCAGCTGAAGTAGCCATCAAAAGAGCGCTCAGGTTCAAAAGGCGCCACTTCCTCTGATGTCAAAGCCAAAGCGAGATCAACACAATCGGTCTGAGGGAACACTGAGGTTTCCCTGTGCAAGTTCGAAGAATGTTTGTACGATTCGTTTTCCCTCAGCGACCGTTGGCTAGCACGACAAGTCGAAGCAGCCCCCTGGTTCCAGGCCAGAGAAACGCGGCTTATCGGCTGTCAGGAAACGCCAGTAAAATGTTACCAAAGCCTCAATCTCGAGTTTCTCAGAAATTCTGACTCCTTCATATAATCAGTCTTGTGTGCCACAGCGATATGCGCCTCAGTGCAGAAACCCCGGCCAAAGCTTCATCGAGACAGAGATAGGACCAACATCCAAATACACTTAGCAGCAACCTCCCTCTGCTGCAAACTTACAAAGAGGCATGAGACAGCACTCTGGCTAAGGGTGAAAACGTATATGTTAGGAACATTTTCTATTCCATTCGTTCAGGTATACAAACGCTCGGTTCAGATCTGTTGTCCCTTTGCATCCATTCCAGCACTGAAGATAGTTCCATGTCTGAGCACGAAGTTGGTCCACTTGCCTCTGGGTCGTCTATCTCGGTTGGGGACTTTGCCACTGGGTCTTCAAACTTGGGGATGATCGGCCCTACTTCCCGCTGGCGCTGGAGCTCCTCATCTCGGGGCAGGTAATTTCGAAACCGGACCCCCTGTTCATTCCTGCAGAAAGTGTGGAGGAAACAACATTGATTAACGAGCAGTGCTCCCGGATGAACGTCCTGAACAGTACGCAACGTCGCAGCACAGTATATTTTGCCGTATGTGCAAAGTACAATTGCCGGGTTGGTTAAGACAACTGTAACGAGATCCTGAGAATGTTTGGAAGAAGCCCTTCAATCATGAATTGCAGCATTGCGGCATGGCGCAGTGGTAAACCCTTCTGATGTACGTTCTTATCCAAAACAGTGGCAAGGATATGGGGCTTCGAGCTCCTGAAGACCGGCACAGACTAGCAGTAATAGTTCTAGAAAAGATGATGTGGCGGCGTCAAATGCTCAGAGCTCACAACTTTTCGAATTTGCGCAATGAACGTTACACAAAATGGGCGACCTCAACGCATCTGATCAGAGGCAAACAACATATACATAGCCGGTCAAAATCAGCGAACGAGGGCTGATAGAGTCTTGCTTGCGTTTCCGAGTAGCAGCACCAAAGTGCTTCTACAGAACCGAGAATCTACTGTCCGGAGCCCCAAAATCACAGGAGGTTGCAGCAAAATTTCTCACAGTTACCACACTCGGTTAGACATATTAGGGTTTGCCCAAAGAGTGGACAGCAAGTCAATTCTGCTTGACATTTCTTCTGTAGAACCGGCAAAACCCAGCACTTCCATTCACTGCTCCTCAAAAAGTAAGGAAACCCTACTCTACAGGTACAGCAAGAGATTGTCAGTGCAAGGGCTTGAGGCAAAGATAAACTTTGTACCAATATTGACACTGATCAACAACTTATCAAAATCGGCACAGAAGCACCAACCAACGGTCATAGACATATTCAACGACAACCAACTCACTCAGGCTCGTCCGCTCCATTTTCCTCATCCCGAGCACCAGTCTCCAGCTCCTCCTCAGCTCGAGCGCTCAGCTCTGCGGCCTCCCTCAAAGCTTTCAACCGCGCTTTCCTGGCTGCCGCGTCCTCCATGCCAAAAGCCCCGAAAATCTGATTCTTTTCAAGGGATTGGAGGCTGCAACGACGCCACAAAGGAGATGCTGTGCTCGATTTAAAAGGGAATGATCCACCCTGTCCTCCTGCCCTAATACGGTAGTACCTAATACCTACTCTAGCTCGATCCTCGTGCAATCCTTGGATATTGTCTAGCGGGCAAGGACGGTGGGGCGGCCGCATGGCAGTCAAGGTTCCATGGCGAACGTCACAGACGTACCAATTCTTTTGTCTTGCAAGAATCTGACCGTTGCTGTCCTCATCGGCAGTCGGTCTGACAGCAATCACCGCATACCAGTCCCTAGCTAGTGGGTCGATTGAGACTTGCATGCTTTAATGATTCTTGCTAGAGGAAAGCGCCCAGTCAACGTTGGTCGGGGCAGGTTGCAGGGGCGTTGCACATTTGACAACCAGGTCTGCCCTTACCTGCGCTTTGGCGCTCCAGGCGGTCTCGCATACCTAGGTATTTATCTGCCCTGCGCTTCGAATCGGAAGTTCGCATGCAGAAGACAAAGGAAAGTTGGTGTTGTTTGATGCCAAGGTTGGTGGAGCGATGCGAGTTTCTCCTTTGTGAGAAACGCGTTGAAAGGTGTGTTTGTGCCCCTGTTTGAGAAGTGCAAGGGGGTTACTTGCACATTTTTAGGGTTGTGCAGGTCGGGGGTGAAGCTGGAGCAATTGTGGGCCAAGACATTGACAATTACGTGCTTTAAGCCCCTCAAGTTGGCTTTGTTGAAATCTGCTGAAAGAGCGGGAAAGCTGTCAATAAGCCAATACATGCAAAAACTGCTGCTTTAGAAACTGGTCCTGCATGGGCAACTCCGTTGGGGAACTGAGCTTTCAGCAGGTAATGCTTCTCTGAAACCAATTCGCCTTCAAAATTAGCCTATACGAATGAAACAGAAGCTCAGGTTTGAGGAGGGAGCTGCCAGGCAGCATGAACAAAGCCGCAGTGCATGACATACCACCACGAGGGATTGAACAGGGTGGAGGAATGAGTGCCGGTATAAATTACTACTATTGGCCTACCAATATAGCCTCGCAGAGGTGTATGCTTGTGTTAGAAGAGAAAGGTAAGGCCCTCAGCTTAGCTTGAAGCTCATTGGAAAGGTTTTTGCTAAAGCCAGGAAGCGCATGTCTTCTACAACTGGAGCATCAGCTGACTTGCTTCAACTGCACAGGTTTTGTAAGTCGCATTTCTGAAGCTGCCTGTCTTTCCGTCAGCAAATAGGATCTTGAAACCCTTGTCAGCTTTAAAAGTATTGGCCGCCAATGTGCCTGCAAGAAGATCGGATTGAGTTGGTGTCTGATGATTTGTACTCAGGCTTCTTTTATATGGAACAGGCCTTGATTACTGGGGGCACGTCATGAACCCTTTTGACGGTTCGTGCCTCGAAGAGGAGTACATGAAAATGAATAACAAAGGGACCGTCCCAACACTGATTGATCATCGAATATCTTTGATAGAGACAAAAACAATCGTAAGGTGAGTTCCTGCACTGTCATCCTGCGCATATTGGTCAACGCTCAGGTTACCATTTTAAGGTTAACCAGAGCTGCATTTGAGATCTGGTGCACACAATGCGAAGCACCACCAAAGTGTAGCTCCGACCCAAGCCGGCAAGGGCTCTGCCAATTGGTTTGAAGAGCCTCAAATACACATACACACGTTGCAGTGTTGCCTCAATACGGTTCGGTACTAGCCACAAGGGAAGCAAACAAAATGACCGCCTGAGGTCAATTGCTGGAATACAAGAGTCCAGTCCAAACATCGGACGCTGCTCAAGGACATGACTTGAAGTCTGGCCTCTGTTCGTCTTCAACATGCTCAGGAATCTCAGGCACTCCCCCAAAAAGAAGGGGTCTTATAATTAGTTTGAACTGTGTCACGTGTCCGTGTGCTTGATTATATCCTGACAACTTATATTTGAAGGCGGGGCGATGTCAGTGACTACAGTAACTGCTCACTTTTTCGACCCCCGGACATAAGTGTGTGAAGATGGACTGTGAGGCGGGCTTCTTTCAAAGTTTTTCACACAGGTACAAAGGATGCAGTAATTCTTATGAAACCTCCACGCCTCGGTGCTGTATAGGTACCTGGATTCCATGTTTGAGCCCCTAGGAAAGGATCTGGTCAACCGACCCCTGGTTAACAACTGGGTGCAGCAGCTCACAGACTGGGACGACACCTTCTGGACATATGCGTGAGTCCCCTGCTTTCAGGTCTTCCTTTGTTTTGATCACAAGATTGCTATTGCATGAAGAGGATTTGATTGTTTGGAACTGACCCAAAGCAATCTTGGGGTACCACCACTTTCCTTGCCCGACTTTTTCTTGATGCCTTCCGCGCCTTCTTATGTTAATATAATGCATTTACTATGACAGTTGACTTGTCGACCTGTTGCATTGTTGCTTATTAGGAATCTTAAGCATTGTACCTTATGACAAGTCTGATGAGCAATCCGTAGCATAGTCGTCCTGCGGGACACATCAGTCTCGCCTCCGCAGACATCAGGCTGCTCCTTTGTGAAGCTTTTGCTCAAGAATCCTCCTCAGGGACCACTCCGCCCCACAATTGATCAACAACCACAAGACACGTTTCTGTCCTTCAATGATCTTCCATTTTGTCTCCTGTCTTATTATGATGGTTGCGAACCGCTTCAAGCTGAATGACTGTCCAAAAAAAGTTGAGAATCTGCCAGAGCTTTTTCCTCTTTGCAGTATTTCACGCTCCTTCTGTTGCCTCCAATTGGATGTTTTTTGTGACCAGAGGTCGGTGTAACGTGAGGCATGTCTGCTGCCGTTATCTTTGACGTTCATCAAGACATAACAATGTTTTACGTCAATGAGTAGCTCTTCAACGCCAGATTTCCTCACACCTTGTTTTTAGCAGGTGTAAGCCCAAGTTAATCGAGTTGGACCGCTGTAAATGCTGACCCGACCAAACGCTTGGTGGAACTCCTCCCTCTATGAGGTCCAATTCGTGTCTGATGGGAATACTTTTCTCCGCCCCAGCTACATGCCTGGCTCAAACGGGCGGTACCTGCGGGGCAAGCTGAGCGAGTTCAAGCGACGGTGCATTATCGCACGCATGGAGCGGCATCCGTCGCTGGTGCCGTCCTACCGGGCCAAGCTTGATGCCCTCCACAAGCTGCTAGAAGACATTCGGAATCCCGAGGTAAGTTTATTCAATGTTTCCGCAAATAGGTTGGCGTAACTCGGTCCGCTCCCACCACCATAGTCCCAGGGGCACGGTTCGTTCAGTATGGACAGTATGCTGCAATTTCGAGGGCCGTTGACATTCTTTTCAGGAGGACTTATGTGGCGTCCAGACGTCGGGGTTCTGTAAAGGTTGGGCTACCAATAAGGAGTGGTCCGCTTTGCTCGTATGTCCTATCCATGATTCTTCAATTGTCCGACGTCTTGCTGGCTGACCTTGAGAAGGACCTTCGAATCACGCCTCAGGGTTTACAATGTCGAGAGGCAGAGATAGCAGGACCCCTACGGACTGTCAAAAAACACGTCCTGCGACCTTGCAAGTTAGAGGACGTCAGTCAGTCAATGATAGTACTTCGTCTGTCTCTGACACTTGTTTCTAACCTTCTCTTTTGGCCGGTGGTTCGACCCCTTCGTTTGTACTTGACGCTTTGTCTTCCTCTGCCTTCCTTCGAAAGTCGTTTTTCGAAAGCTTTGGTGGTTGCTTCTCAAAAGTGCCGGGCAGTCGATTGAGGGTCTTTTTGAGGATGTCCAATGCGTTGCATTTGGGGCGTCTTGCGGTCTTGACGCTTTCGGGAGTCTCGCTTCATTCTTGCTTCGCCTCGACATCCGGAAGAGCTCAGGGGTCCCGGCAACCCCGGTTTTTATTCGTTTTGACGACGTTGCATTCCTTGATTATCAGCCTATCCGGGACGTGACAGGGTTGTCCAAATTCGGAAATTTCGTATCTGCGTTGAGTCTGCTGAAAGATGGAAAGCTGTTTTCTCGCCAGTATCCGTTTCAAGAGCCCAATGTACATCACCTGGCGGCTCAGGACTATCTGAAGCTCGTCAGCAACACGTATGGGAGCCAAACAATTTCGTTCGACAATACTCGTTTTACATCTACCTTCTCAGCGGGCAAAGTCATGACCAATGCACGTTTTCAGCGTCTTCTTTGACGCCTTGCTACTCTTTCTACTCCTTTCCGGTCTGGTCTTTCGGTGTAAAAGCAGTAGAAAAGCCAGAAAGTCTGTCTACATCTTTCGAGCTCTCTTGAACCTCGCGCGTGCTGTCACGCGTGCGTCACTTGCTTTGCTTGCTGGCTTTCTCGTCTGGACCTAGGTTGGTCATAGCCGTGACAGCCCGAGACATTCTCGACACTTCTGACCCTATCTTCACTCTTTTGGACAGCCTTCGAGAATGTTGGAGTTTCCTCGGGTGAGGATTTTGAGGAACGATGTTGAAGAACCCCTCTCCGGATTGGGAATCCCTCTCTCTTGATTGAACGATCGTGAAGAACTTTCAGGACTCGTCGACTCTTTTGTGGACAGTCCAGAGGTCAACATCTCTTTCATCACATCCGCGACTACGTAGATAGTCCCCTGAGATCTGGTACTAAACTCTTCTCCCCAAACTCTTAACTACATTCCTGACTGGTGCGCTAACCCCTTGCCAGATGGTGAACGAGAACATGCGGCAGCTGTACGTGCTCCTGGACGCCGCGGAGCGGCAGCTCGCGGTGACGAGTTTCTTGTGCGGGGACGCGTTGTCGACCGCGGACTGCATGCTGCTGCCCATCCTGGCGCGGATCGAGTTGGCGGACTTGACGAAGGAGATCCTGGAGCCGCGGCCCAACTTGTTGGAGTACCTCCAGGAGATGAAGCGGCGGCCGAGCTTCGAGAAGGTCGTGCTGAAGCCGCAACGGAGCTTCTCCAAAATGAAGCGCATGCTGCCCACGCTGGTCGGCATACATTGGAGAAGTCTTGTGAAGTCGTACTAGGGGGTTAGAGGGGGAACTGGGTCGTGAGCAGTGCGGAGCGGTTCAACTCAAATCAAATGGCGCGCTCGCCAACATAGAGCTGGCTCGATGACATGTAGCCAAATATGTGAGCGCGTCGTCCTGTCACGGGAGTAACCCAGTCCATTATGCAGACTTTGATACTTGAGTTTGCAGGGTTGACAGCTTAGTAGATCCACCCATTGTCGGGTGAAATGTCAAGTGTATGAATATGCAGATATTTCCATTGACAATGGAACGAAGAGGTCAGAATATAATATCGTCACACAAACTTGTTGTTTGGTTCGATGGCTTATATGGAGTCGTAGCTGTTCTGGCCCAGCATTCTTCCGATGTCATATTACAAGGCCGCCGCGCGCGACTAGGCGCGGCGCATCAGTGTGCACTCAGGGCATGACAGGCCGCGGCCGGGCCGGCGCCGGCTGGCTGGCCCGGGGCGCGACGTACCGGCGAATTGATCGGAGGTTTGGCCCGAATTTGCATATGTCAAAGATACACAACGTCATCACATGAAGAACCAAGATCCGCAAAATAATCCGAGTCGGGCGGATGAATTGGATTGTTGACGTGGAGCGATCTGCACCCTCGTATGACCTCGACTGGTATTGCAAACCGTCCGATGCATTCTATGAACAACGTCATCCTTATCCATCCTTATACCTAACGGTCGTTGATCACGTCAGGAGTCGGTCAATATCCGTACATGTTCGCATTCTCGCAAGCAGCGGAGCCTCCAGCCGGTAGGTAACAACCCTCTTCATACGCGGAGATAGAAAGACACGCAATATGTCTAGATGCGGGAATGCATGATATCCAATCCAGCTTGAAGCGTGATCCGTAAAATGTGAACCTGAAGGAACATAAGCGGCTAGGCCATGTGACATACGACGAGTGTCAGCTTCAGCAGTAATTGGGCATAATGATTGCGCGGCGTACGGTCAGACCAAGGCACCACAAGTCGGTGACTCACAGGGATACGGTATACGTCTGGGGATTCCATGGACCATGAGGGAAGGGTCTGCCAATGACAAAGGGCTCAAGACGTGCAGTCGGCTACCATGGTAGGTACCGGTACGTACATTGCAAATTATTCCCCCAGCACTGCACACTGCTCAAGTACCGTCCTCTCTCGTTGGCTGGTCCAACACCCGATACGGTACCTAGTACCTACTCAGTACTGCTGGCTACAGTAGCAGGCTTGTCACAGATTCTTAGGTCCTTCTACTACCTAAGGGGATTCGAGAACTGAGTACCGGTCTTTGCCCCCTGATTCCTCCCCTGCAAGCCAGCAATTTTGCTACTCCTGCTCGGTGCCCGAAGACCTGGTGTTATTGCACTTGCTTACTTCAAGAGCAGGCGCCACCAATCCCCAACCCTGTCAGCAGCTGACCAGATCACCACCAGCAGTCTCTGCGGTGAGAGGACCTCTGCGAGCTAGTCTTCGTCTCAGGTGAGCTCAGTCGCAGGCTCTCTGAAGCTTATGCTGCATGTTGCAACAGCCTGTTCTGCTTCAATACCTTCTTGTAATTCTACTCAAGATTGGCTGCTGATGTGCCATCTTGCTGCCCTTCGTCCTTCTTTGATGGTGGCTGTTTGAATCTTGAGCTGATATTGACAGTGTGGTGGATCAGAGCATGCTGCCATGTTGGTTGTTGAGATTCTCCTTTTGAACATGTAGCATTGTTGTTTCTGCAACTGCTTGTTTGATTTAGCTTAAGCCAGAAATTCATCAACTTAGCATGATCAAAAACCACCTAGGCGCTAGGAATCGCAGAACTCACGCAATGCCACATTTACTTGCAACATTCCTTTTTTGGCTGCCATCCACATATCAATGGCAACCTCAGGAAAGAGAGTGTTTGCATTATTGGCCTGCTTGCGAGAGACCTTTGAGTCTTTTCTGAAGTCACTCGCAAAACCTCTGTTGACATGTTCACTTGATTTGGAGCACCTCTCAATAATCTTCAATCAATGGGTTCAGCAATCCCAGAAGTTGGAATGTTCTGCTGAATGCTGAGAGAGGGTCACATGAAGCTAGGCCTGCAGGTAGTCCAAGAAACCTTACAATCTCGTGCTGAAATAGTGTTTCCGTCAATCCTGTTCCTGCTTTCTGTCGGTGCTCTCGTTTTTGGACAAAGTCTCCAAGAAAGCTTTCAAAGCAATTCTAGTCAGAATCATAAAAAGCTTGTTGCTTTCAGTCTTATTCTCGTTTCCTTGTTCACAATTCTTGGCTTCTTGTCCTCATTGATCGTGAGGAGCCTGATTCTCAGCAGTGTGCTCTTAGCCACTTTGTTTCCCTATCCTTTCCCCAGGAAATGCTTATTCTTTTACAAGCTGTCCCTGACAGTTGCATCCATCCTTTCCCTCCAGGTACCATGGCTTCTCCCACTGCCCTCCGCCTGTTGGCTCTCTCTGCACTGCTCCTGCTGTGCGCCCCAACCACATCCGCGTCCGCGACGCCCCGTCAGCTGGTTGACTCCATCAAGAGGGCGACTCAGCAAGGCCAAGCTCTCCAGGCCCCCGCCCAATCCATCACCATTATCAATGGGCCGCTGATCGTCATTGGCCAGGGCCCCTTCCCCAAGATCATTGTAGGCTTCACCGAGATGATCACCGAGTTGACCACCAGCATTGCGGTATGCAACTTGAACACCTCTTCTCAAGCCTGAGTCCTTCATGCTGGCTCCCAATTGAGGTGATTTGGGAAAGCACTGTCTGCCCTGGACGCGGTAACACGAGACTTCCCTCTCTGAAGTTGGTCCTCTTAACTGCTCTGTGTGAAAAAATGGGGCTCCATGTCTGTAATTCTGCACAGCTTTTGCAGAGCTCAGCCCAGTTCAAAGGGCAAGCTTGTACAACCACACAGGAAGTTCCAAAGTCTCTAAAGGGTGGCTTGTCCAGAGCAAGCTGCTTTGTGAAGACTCAATGATGAAGTATGAATGAGTCTGCATGGATTATGCTCTAGGTCAAGCATCAAGTGTACATCCTCAACTTGTATTCTTCAATCTGCTGTTGTGGAAGCCTGGCCTATGTCGATTTGAAGTTTGACTATCCTGCAATCCAAAGACATACTAGCAGGCTCCGAAGTAACCTCGATTGTTGATCTACATCAACTTTTCATTTGCTTGAGAAATAACCTGTACTGAAATGCTATGTAGCACCACTGACTTGACTTTGACGGCTCCAATTCTGACCAGATTAAATCCCAAGAGCCGAGCTAAAATCATCCAATAGAAGGCGCGCATTTGATAACCAACCGCGCAGTACTACCCTTGCACAGCGCCATAATAGTGCACACGAAAAAATGACCGACTTAACAGCGGGTGTTTGCAGGTGGTGACCTGTATGTCATCATAGTTTGAGAGACCAGAGCAGCACTTTTCCTCTGTCAAAGAATATCCTGAAAAGGATTTTCATGAACCGAGGCTTTAAACGGCCCACGTGGTGGTCTGCTGATCCAGATCTTGTTGCCCATCATTGCAGGAGGCCCAAGGAGCCGAGCGATTGAGCGGCGCCGACACAACCGCCGTTGCGGACGCAGTCCGCGACATGGTGCGCGTGCACCAGGCGCTGCTTAACATCCTGATCGGCAAGGCGGGCCTCTTCAACACCGTCCCCTTCATCGGACAGCCCGTCGCAGAAGTGCTCAGACAATATGAGGGTGTCATCGACGCGTACCTGTTCCAGCTGACTGACCTCGCCTCCAGCGAGGCAGCATCCAAGACCATCAGTGGGCAGCAGATGTCGCTGGATGGCACCACCACAATTGCAATCAACGCGTACTCCGGCCTTGGGCTTAAGCTCTGGCAGCAGTGAAAGGCGCCGGTTCTTCTGGTGCCAAGTTGACGGCTAATATTCTCAGGACCAGGCACGATGATTTCGAAGCCAGCAGGCCGGAATATGTTGAGTATAGTAGATACAAGTGCATGAAGCTAGAGGGGTCGGTGTGGGTTGAGTTGTCCGTAGCAACAACGTACGACTTGCGCAGCTTGTAACCGTCAGCCGTGGTCAACCGAACACGTTTTTGGTCTTCATTGCCTATCCATCAAAGACATATCTTACCGTCTACTACCAACGAGCTTGAAACAAGAGTGTAAAACTGCAGATATCAGAGAAACAAGCAGTGACAATTCTTGTGTGTTTGTTTTCCTGAGATCGAAACGCTGCCTTGACAAATTGCAATAGAACGCGACTTCAAAAACCGCATGCATACTTTGTGTACGGACTGACGATCTGGCTTCTTAATAATCGTGCTCGTAGCTTTTCTAACATGGCTTTGAGGCTGATCATGCATGCGACTAGGTAATCACACCATGTCACCGGATTATTGTACTACCGTGCCCGACAACATTCCGGGCGAGGTAGATCAAGAATTATATACTCGAATATATACACTATAGACAACACTACATATTATACGGATAGTTTCTATCTTTGGTTGTTTGTCAGAGATGATTGGCCGGTCTGCATGAGCCGCCGCAGACACATGGTAAGTTCTAATCGAACAGCCTGTTCTTAACCTTGCACCGCCAGAAAGTCGGAGACTCAGTACCACGTATATGCATTATGATAGCGCTGGCACACAGGTGCACACTAAGTTTTTTCAAATGGCTGTTTGACTTTGCCGCCCTGTATTGTCGGTTGAGTTCAGGCTGGAATTCAAGATTGAATGATTGATTTCAATCGTGTCTAGCGATCGGTGATTGGACACAATACACGAACCAATAATGAGGCGGATTCTATGAACGCATATGGACCCCGGTGGCGATAATGAGCAGCCGCGCGCCGCCGCGACGGGATACGATTGGGCCGCGCCGCGGTGGTGCATGCGGAGCCATATACCTGATCAGTGCTTTGTGTTTATATTTTGGTCAAAAGAGGGCACATACAAACCATTTATGCGCCATGGCAGAGTCGGAAGCTTGTGCATCATGGCCGCACAAGCTACGGCGTCGCTTTACGAAATGAGACGTACCCTCAGCATACATCACTGGTCCCAAATCATAAATCCAGCAGGAGCTAACGATTGTAATGCGGCATGACAGAGTATGGGCTATGGCTATCGCTGTCACGTTCGTTTAATAGCCTTCCTTCTTCTGAACTGTGACGGATGTGGTTTGATTTGGCAGCACTGCAGGCTCTGTCGGTCCCTTGCCCTACGTCCGTGACAAGAGTGGTCAGATTGCAAGAGGCGATCTTTCCAACGAAAGATCTCGTCTAATGTAACCGAAAGAGCAAAGAAACGCTTTCGTTTGGGCTCAATGCATTCAGTGATTTGAGGAGCTCGTGGCGTCTGACAAAACCTCGTGGTCAATTCCCCTGTCGTAGCTTGACGGCGGCAACCTCTCTCATTCCCACCTGTCATTATATACCGGGCGACAGATCTAGTCAGCTCACCTGACGTCCTATCGTTCATGCAGCAGTAGTAGCTCAGCACACGGAATCCGGATTTATCCTTCAGTGAGTTTTGCTACAAATTCGCTATTCGTTTCTTGACGAGCATTAATTTGCGGCGCATACGTTTTTGCTCATCACAGAATTTCCGAGGACTACGACAGTGTGCAAGGGGAGCACGATTGCAGCACTCCTGCTCTTACACCAACATGTACCGCTCTGATAGCGCGCGCGCGCGTGCCTCTGCAAAATGGCGATGGCCTCGCGAAAAGCGGCTTCAACAGTTGCATAAGACCTGCCGACCTGGCTTTCGCCGCTTCGAAATCTCTTAACAACTGAGTTCGACACTCCTGCCGAATCAAACACTTTCAAGGCTGGTTACGTCCTCAGCTTTATGCTTTTAACTGAGAAGACTCTTTCTTGCTTCCTTTTCACGCGGCTACGTCGACTCCAAAGAGCGTCTGAGACCCGGTCGCGGCCGCCGACGCGCGCTCGTTCTCGGTCGCCCGACTCATCTCCATGTACCTGCCCAGAGAAGCCACGTGTCAGACACATATTGGCTAGCCTGATGAGCTGGTGTACAAATGCATCCCTTGGAAGCCAAAGAACGCCTGAGCCCTGAGGTGCTAAAACAAATAAGCGGAATTTTCAGAAGCTTCCTCACTAGGTCGAATCAGGTACAGGCGTTGCTAGGTCGACGTCAAAGAAATGTGACGGGAAAGTGTCAAACCTGGACCAGTCAATGCTATCGTTCTGTTAAGCGCAGACCCGGCGCAACGGACTTGTGATTTGCGGTCTTGGTTAGATCGACTTTCAGGCAAAGTCGATTCATCTAACTTAGACGACGACAGGGCATCTTCGTGACCGGCCGCCAATTTGCTTTCACTTCACCACTTGGTGACTTCGTCTCTAGCCTTTGCTCACCCCGTTGCGTAAAGGGACTTCGTAAATTGAGCAGACATCCCCTCTCTCCATTCGGCAACAGCTAACCAGGGAAGGTTCTTTCAACGGTCAAAGCCAGTTCATGGAGCGAGCCAAGAATGTCAAAAGATTCGTAAGCATGGCAACCGACAAGTTGTTATGTTCGTGACGTCATCCCAGGTGTGCAAAGATGACGTCATCCCGGGCCTCACCTCTGCTTCTGGCCGGTGAGCCGCGTGATGCGCGCCGCCTGCTTGGCCGCCGCCATGGTGTCGTTGCTGGTCGCCAGCTCCTGCAGCACGCCCGCGCTGATGGCGCGCTTGCGGGAGGGCGACCGCCCGCTGCCACCATTCAGCGCCTGCGGAAAAAACCTCTAAGATTTTGGTTTTGGCGTATTCTACGCCAGCTGCATAGGACGCAAATTACTACCCAGCTTTCTGCTGCCTAGAAAAGCTCGAGAATGCAATTGTGACGGGCAGCGAGGTATGATGCGAGGCGGAGTACGTCTGGCCGCCACTGCGGCACCAACGACGGGAGCGGTCCCGCCGCGCGGGTCTTGGTCTCCGTCAGTTCTGCAAAACCCTGCCGCCCTCGAACTTTCTGGATTGCTCATGTGCGAACGATCTTCGTTCTGAATACTTCTTTTCGACAGCAATTGGGTCGTTTATCCTGTCGGACGTAATCTAGGTCCTCCCTTGATTTTTTTTGAGAGGTTGTTGCAGAATGAACTGGTGCGAATGGCCTACCTAAGAGAAGGTGGAGTGCGAGCCGGGCGTGGCGCTCTGCGCCCGGAGCGTATTTACACTTTGGAAGCGGTCCAGGTCGGAGCAGTACCCTGTGGACCCCTGAAGATAGGAATAATAAAAAGATTACTTTTTTGAAAACTGGGAAGCTGTGAACGGCCTGTGCCAGCAGTGCCGCGAGGAGGGAATTCCTGCCAAAAGGCGAGCGTTGGTGCGCAGAAAGCGGCACGCTTCGCTTGGCATTTGATTCGATTGCCGCAACTTACAAATTGGGTGGGCAACACTGAGACCTGTCAAATGACTCGCTTGTCTAAACCCTTTGTTTATCGCAAGAAAACAAGTTTATCATTAGACGACTTTGGAAGTATCTCAGTTCGTCTGTTGAGCACAACCGCTTGGATTGGAAGCTGCTTCAGAATGTTCGAATCACGCGGATGTGCCACGTGTCTCTTCCTCGCGGCGTCCAGGCGCTCACCGGCGTCGGGCGTATGACTGCTGAGAAAACTTCGGACTTGCTCCAAAAGGTTGTACCGCAGCGCTGTCACGCGTAAAAAGAAAAGGTCAATTAAACGAAACGATTACTAAGCTACAACGCTGGACGGCCCTCACATGCTTCTTGTCTTGTCTTGCGGCCGACTTTCAATCTACGGGGTGGCCACCCCTCTTGATTTTTAAATTAAATATCAGAGGCGCTGACTTCGGAGAAAGCCACTATATTCTGAATCGTTGGGTAGCGTTGGATTGATGCCAGGACCCATGGTTGCGGGTAAACCCTTTGAGAGGGGATAATGGGCGTTGGAGTGAATCACCGGCAAAAAGTGAGGTCCCCAAGGGGCAAAAAGCCTTAGGCTTGCTCGAAAAGCTTTAGGAGTGACAGATGGCAGATCGTATGTGCGGAATCACAGACTGTGAAGCTATCATCCGGGAGGACCTGAGCTGTTCTCTCGATGCCATTCTGGTGCGTTACGTACTAGAACCTTCTGGCGGAAGTTTATCGTTGATTCTCTCAATGATGCGGAGATGCTAAACAAATATCAACCTTTGTGCAGGTAGTATATCCGGAAACTTACATGGTACACGCTGCCCGTCTCACAGTGCCAGATTGTAGCCTGACCGGGTGGCGGGCTGCGAAACGGGAAGAAAATCAGAGACTGTCAGGAGTGACAAGGATCGATCCGGCAGAGTGAGGTAAACGATGTGAGCAAGTGAGGCCTGAACGCCATTGGCTGTCGTTTGTTGCAAGTGACGACGCAGACGTTTGCCGCTGCAGAATTTAAACCGGCGTTGCTTCCCTACTTTTCACAGCGATCGTAACCTCCTCAAAAAGTCTCGGCCTACTCCAGCATTTTCATCAGAGGTTCAGATATTCCAAAAGATTACCTCAGTGCATCTGCACACCCACCTTGACGTTCCTGGGCAGCGGGTCCCCCGGTGCTGTCGTCAGCATGACGTTGCTCGCCGTACTTGGGCGGCTGCCCGACGTGCCCTCCGTGAAGATTGTCAGCAGCCGAATGTACTCCACCCGACCGCTGCAGAGGACGCTTAACGATGTCAGAAGCCACTAGACAAATCCCGGAAAGGCTTGATTGTCTAACTTGAGAAAGTGTCGCTGCGGGTTTCTTACCAGACGTCCCACATGGCCTTATTGCAATTCTAGGACGGTTGATCAGAATGTTCCAGTGAGAGTCGCACCGTCTCTCTCCTCAGCAGAAATCGAGCGCGCCTAGCTCCAGGTCTTGACCTCGTTGCGAAAGTCAAGCACACCTGCTGGATTTTGACGGAAACAGCACATCACAGGTCGGTACACTTGACCTCCATCGCTAAAGGACGACTCGAGCGTTCTGAGGCGCTTTCCAGGGCCCACACCAATTATGGTACCACACCTCTTTCCATCGTCCAGAACTCCGATTTTGAGTGTCGGAATTGCTCGCTCACCTGGCGTCAGCATCCAGTCTGTCCAGCACGCGCCGCCCCTCTTCTGCTGTGAGCTCTACCCGGTACTGTCGCAGACCCTCCTGAATCTTCTGCCAGTCGAGGCGCCCCTCCCCGGCAGGGTCCATGCTCCCAAATGTGTTCCGCAGGTGCACCTGAAAGAACCATAGAAGGTCTGATAGCTGAGGGGTAAAGTCCAAGAGAGAGTCCCTCGCGGCATATTGGAATGCATTCGAGAAAGGTGAGCAGCTTTTACCGCTCAAGATTTGCATCTCGAGTAGTCAAGAGCCTTCTCAAATCTGTCTAAAATATTAGTGTTCTGATTGATTTTTGGACCACACGACACTGCTTCGACTCCGTGCGCAGATGCATTATGTGAGCTCCAAACTTTGGGCAAGAACCAACCAAAATCTGCCGCCTGAGGCTTCTTTCATGTTGTTTTCCAGTTACCTTCACCAGCTCAATCCGTCTTTGGAAAAGGCGTCCTTGGCCGAGATACTGTTCAAGATAAGCTCATACCCAGGACGGCCCACTTCGTCAGGGTCAGACCTTAGAGTAAGAACAACACAATAGTTTCTCCTGTGCATAATCTGAAGAGTCTACAACACCAGCCATCAGCAACCGGTTGCCCCAAAAACTGATCGAAGCAGCCGTTGGAGCCTAGGTAGGAACGTAATTTTAACTCCCAGAGATCAGGAGATGCCAGTCAACTGTGTACAGAAGCTCAAGTCTGAAGTCCCTCAAAGAACTCTGCTTGACCTAGCTTGACCCAGGTAAACAATCTTGAGTTCCACATTACTACGCGCATATGTGCAAAGGCGCCAGTCAAATAGATACCAAGAAAGACCCGTAGGTGCCGGTTGCAGACACAAAGAGATGTATGAGACGGCACTCTACGAGCATGCATCCCTAGTTTCCTCCAGCTACATAAGTTGGCCCTACCAAATCATTACATTCGGTTGTACAACTCAGTTGACACGTCCCGGCAGCCAGTTGAATCACTTGCCTCAGGGTCGTCTACTACGGTTGGCGACTTTGCCACCGGGTCTTCAAACTTTGGACAATCGACCCAACTTCCCGCTGACGTTAGAGCTCCTCCTCTCGTGGCAAATAGTTTCAAACCGGTCCCCCTGTTCATGCCTGCAGACAGTGTCGAAACGAACCTCAATCAGCATGCGATTCTGCATAAACAACATCTTGGGGGTTCCAATTGCGCACTGTCCAGACAATCTTGCCGCATGGGCCAAAATGCAATTGCCATAGAACACCAGTGCTTGATGATGTGGGGGGAGGACACCTTAACACCCCTTTTTCATTAGCAGGACCACTGCGGCATGGCATATGAATTGTGCACCCCTTTGGGTCACACGAACTAATCCTTGGAAAAGATTGCAGGGAAGTGGGGCTTCGACTTTTGTGAAGACCGGTACTGAATCCATAACAAATCGAGGATAGACGAAGGCGGCATGGTGGCATCGACTGCTCAAACCACTATGGAAGCCAAAACCGAGAGAGTGACAATTGCAAAACACATTGCCTTCGCAACGGAGGATGTGCTGAGAAGAGATCTAGCGGCATCCGATCAGAGGCAAGCGACACGTACACAACAGGTCAAATCAGCAAATATGGGCTGATACATGCTGACTGATAAAACTGAATTGAGACCCTGCGTCTACAGGTACAGCAAGGAAGTATAAAATCGCTGTGAGGGTTTGAGGCGAATGAAAACTTTGTACCACCATTGATACTCATCGACAACCCATCGCTTGCTTTATGGCTGGCGGTGTCGGCCCCATCCAAAACTCACTCAGGGGCATCAACCCCATTCTCCCCGTCCCGAGCACCAGTCTCCAGCTCCTCCCCAGCTGAGCTCTGCGGCCTCCCTCAGAGCTTTCACCCGCGCTTTCCTGGCTGCCGCGTCCTCCATGCCAGAAGCACCAAAACTGTTGATACTTGCCAAGGAGTTGCCGCCTGCAACGATGCAATGGAGGAGATGCTGTGCAGTCCTCGATTGGAAGGGTAAGGGATCCAGCTACCTTCTGGCGCTGAGCTCCTAGCTGTGCCCTACCATGCAGCGCAATCCATCAGAAACATTGGCTGACAAAAACGTTTAAAGCTGATTCTTACCATATAACTAAATTAGTATCACTGTCAGTGCGCCGTGCGGGCCAGAGTGGGGCGCGGCCGCACCGGCCTGGTTGGCGGAGAACGAGACATTGAAGTACCGTTTCTATA